AAGAAATACTGTTATTTAAGAATTCATCTACCTTCCGGGCGCATTCTCTTCCTTCGCTGATTGCCCATACGACCAGGCTTTGACCACGTCGCATATCACCCGCCGCAAACACTTTTGGCAGGTTGGTGCGATAGTCTTTTTCTCCTGCTTTTACGTTACCACGGGCATCGAGTTCAACCCCCAGTTCATTGATGAGACCATTATGTTGTGGGTGAACGAATCCCATCGCGAGCAATGCAAGTTCGCAGGGGATCTCTCTTTCGCTTCCTTTTATTTCGACAAACTGGGCGGGTCTGTCATCAACGATCTTCCATTCGAGATCGACGAGTTTTAATGCACGGAGATTACCCTTATCATCCCCGATAAATTCTTTAGTTGCCACTGCCCATTGTCTCTCGCAACCTTCTTCGTGCGAAGTAGTCGTCTTTAACAACATAGGATACGTGGGCCAGGGCATGAAAGGCGTTCTGTCTGCAGGTGGTTTTGGCAGCAATTCAAACTGTGTAACACTCTTTGCACCATGACGGTTAGAAGTGCCCACACAATCAGAGCCGGTATCGCCACCGCCAATCACTACTACATTCTTTCCAGTGGCGAGTACTTCACCACTTAATATATTGCTCTCGATATTCGCGTTTGCATAGGGATCTTTTTGGCTCACCCGTTTATTGTTTTGTTTCAGGAAGTCCATGGCAAAATGAACGCCGTTCAGTTCACGGCCTGGTATTTCCAGGTTGCGCGGAACTGTTGATCCGCCTGTCAACACGATCGCGTTGAACTCACGCAGCAGGTCATTGATGCTGATGTTGACACCGACATTGGCTAAACATTTAAACACTACGCCTTCTTCTTCCATCAATTTAATCCGGCGATCTACTACCCACTTCTCCAGTTTGAAATCAGGAATGCCATAGCGCAACAGTCCACCGGGTGCATCATCGCGTTCAAACACAGTAACGAGATGGCCGGCATAATTTAATTGCGCAGCAGCCGCCATTCCAGCGGGGCCTGATCCAACTACGGCAACTTTTTTACCAGAGCGGAGATTGGGGCGTTGTGGTTTTACAAACCCTTTATCGAATGCGATTCTCAATAATATGTTTCTCTATCTCTTCGATGGCTACAGGCGGCTGGTTGATGCCCAAGCACACAGGATGATTCGCAGGGTGCAGGACAAATGCGGCCGGTGAATTCGGGAAAGTTATTGGTCGATGTTAATACATCATATGCTTCTTTCCAGTCTTTCCGATACACCGCGTCGTTGAATTCGGGTATGATGTTCCCGAGCGGACATCCATGATGACAAAACGGAACACCACAATCCATACAGCGCGCCGCTTGCTGGTTGAGTTTTTCATCAGAAAAACGTTCAACGAATTCATTGTAATGATGTCGTCTTTCCTCTACTGGCTTTTTGCCGGGCAATTCCCTTGAAAATTCGAGAAATCCTGTTGGTTTACCCATGAGTTGATGCTGATTTTTATTTTAAATAAAAATGTTAATTTGTATAAAGTGTTTCGACATTACCTTTTGGCTTCGACTTCCGCTTTTTTGTGCGTAAGTGCTTTCTTATAATCTTTCGGAAACACTTTGACGAAATTCTTCAATTGGTTATCGAGGTCGTCTAATATAAACCTGGCGACTGTGCTACCTGTATGCTCGTAATGAGTTTGCATCATCGTGAACAATTCATTCTTGTCACTAAGATCGCATTCATCCAGGTCTACCATCTCTCTATTGCAGTTCTCAGCAAACTTCCCTTTTACATCATATACATATGCAATACCGCCGCTCATACCTGCTGCAAAATTTCTACCTGTATCACCGAGTATTACCACCCGGCCTCCAGTCATGTATTCACAGCCATGGTCGCCTACACCTTCTACTACTACGTTTGCTCCTGAGTTGCGGACGCAAAAACGTTCTCCGGCTTTACCACGGATAAATGCTTCGCCAGATGTAGCCCCATAAAAGGCAACGTTACCGACGATGCTGTTTTCTTCAGGAACAAACAAAGCGTTTTTAGGCGGATAGATGATCAGTCGCGCCCC